AGAGAGAGAGAGAGAGAGAGAGAGAGAGAGAGAGAGGCGCATCAGGTAGGAGTCACAACCACCACTTCCTCCTTGTGTGTGTATCACCTGTAATAACACACACACACACACACACACACACACACACACACACACACACACACACTTTAACCTCCATCTTTGTTAGTTTCTCTTCAAGTGCGTTAACCAATTTGCTCTTTCATATCTCCAGACAGGGAAGCCGGGGGGTGGAGGGGGTGAGAGGGAGGGGTAGGGGATGGGTAAGGGGGGTAAGGGAGAGGGGGAGAGTTGAGGCATTAAACATATGAACCTTTTCAGAATCCATTAATGTGTAACTTCAGTAAATCATTTAGGTTAGGTTAGGTAAGGTTAATGTCGGGTTAGGTTAATGTTAGGTTAGGTTAAGGTGTTTAATCATCAGGTATAATAAGCTGGGGTGTTTCAGGGACACTCTGGCCGGACCCTACCTAGTTACTGAAGCTCTATGTGTGACGTGTCTAGATAACTATATAGATATTCAGTGATGGTGTGTGTGTGTGTACTTGGGTTCAAACACAGGAGTGTTAGTTACAAGACTAGCGAGGTCATCCTAAAACTATATCTTGTGAGACCACACTTGAATTACGCAGTTCAGTTCTGGTCACCGTACTACAGAATGGATATAGAATCCTTGAAAAGAATTCAGAGGAGAATGACAAGACTAATCCCGGGCATTAGGAACCTTGAGTACAGAGACAGGTTAAAGCATCTTAATTCGCACTCCCTCGAGAGACGTAGAGTGAGGGGCGATATGATAGAGGTGTATAAATGGAAATCAGGGTTAAACAAAGGGGACATTACAAAGGTACTCAAACTATCCAACCAGGAGCGAACTCGTAACAATGGTTTTAAATTAGACAAACTTAGATTTAGGCGCTGGATAGCTTCAAACATAGGTTGGATATGAGCAATAGGGGTTGGGTGTAAACGGGACTGCCCAGTATAGGCCAATATTCCCGCTGCAGTTTCCTCCATTCTTATGTTCTTACGTGTGTGAGAGCGTGGATCCAGCCTTCAGACTTGCTACACACACTACGCTGTCCGTCCGTCCGTCCGCCTGCCGTCTTTCCTCGCGGTCAATTCAAGTCGTCTTCACTCGTCATGCTGGTGGTGTTTGACCGTCGACTTACATCATCATCCTTGACGTGTGGTGTTATCTTCTCCTCCTTCTTCTTCTTCTGATGGTGTTTTCGACGCCTCCGTCTCTCGCAGAAACAAATGAAATGATGATGAGGTATTGGTGGGGATGGTCTCTCTAGATGTAAACAATGGTAGACCGTCGACTTAATTCTTCCTGGCATTGTTTCTACACTTCATTTTTTTTTTCTTTATTTTATTCCTATTTTATCCGTGTTCGCCTCTTCCTCTCTATGCCAGGAACGTAGTGATGTGAAAAAATAATCAGCATAGCATTACAGATCATCGACTTCAAATTTAAAGTTAATATTTTTTTTTTTACATCCAATCATAATTCTCCTCTTCCCTCCTTCCTTTCGTCTTCACTTTTATCCTCGTGCTCGTCTCCTCTCTACGCCAGGCGGAGGAGGAGGAGTTTAAGCGTGGCGGACTAGAGAGAGGTTAATCCACGGGTAAACATTGCAGACCGTCGACTTGGTCAAGTGACTGCCAAGGGCCCTCCATAACAAGGGATAGTTTGCTAGCTTTTGTGGCTCGTTTGTATTGAGTGAGTTTGGTTGTTTTCCCTGGGGGCCAAGGAGTGTGTCGAGGGGCCCTGGTGAGAGAGGGACTGGCCCTGATTTGGGAGTGTGAGTGGGACACCAGAACGCCAAGTGGGGACTCCTCACCGGGATGGCGCCTCCTAACCTCCTCTCCTCGCTTTTTATAGTCGCATTTTTTCGTACTTGTAAACCTTCTACCTCACTCATGTCTCACAGGAAGAAACTTGTTATAGGAGCAGTGTTATAGGTGTTAATATTAGAGTTATAGACGTTATAGATGGTGTTATTAGTGTTATAGGTGTTGTTATTATTGTTATAGATGGTGTTATTATTGTTATAGATGGTGTTATTATTGTTATAGGTGTTATTGTTATGGATACTGTTATTATTGGCACACCTGCTCTCACCTGTTTACACCTGCATACCTATTGTCTCTCTGCACATGACAGCAGCGGGGTACAAGTCCACACGGGAGGGGGCGTTCACAAATGCTCTGTTTAAAGATTAATATTTTGTCTATTTCTATATAAGGATAAAACTCCTCTAGCGGCCACCTCGATAAACCGTCTGCTCACAACAAATAACAATAACTTTTCAGATATTTCTCGTCAATTCTTTTAGCTGTGTTTGAGTTATAAGGGACCCTGTGTATAATGAATCCGTGGTAACTGATGACTCTATACGTGATGATGATGATGATGATGATGATGATGACTTAATAATAATAATAATAATAATACCGGTAAATCAAAACAGCTGAACGTGAGAAACATAAAAAAGCTACTCATGGGATCACCTCACTTCCCTTAACCTCACTTCACCTGACTTCACCTCACCTCACTTCACCTCACCTCACTTCACTTCACCTCGCTTCACTTCACCTCACCTCACCTCACTTCCCTTCACCTCACCTCACTTCACCTCACCTCACTTCACCTACAGCATGACATATCACTTTTGTACTGAAGTCTGGCGGACAGACATACACACACCTCAGCCAGGTAGGTGGTGGGGGTACAGGTAAGGTAGGGGTGGGGAGTGGGTAGGTCAGTCGGTGGGTGGGCAGGTTTGTAGGTAGGTGGGTGGGTGGAGAGGTAGGTGGGTGGGCTGGTCGGTGGGTGGGTGGGCAGGTGGGTGGGGAGGCAGGCAGGCAGGTGGGTGGGGCGGGCAGGCAGGTAGGTGGGCAGGTAGGTGGGGAGGCAGGCAGGCAGGTAGGTAGGTGGGCACTGGTCAGGTAGGTGGGGTGGGCACTGGGCAGGTAGGTGGGCGGGCAGGCAGGTAGGTAGGTGGGCACTGGGTGGGTGGGCAGGCAGGTGGGTAGGTGGAGATGGGTAGGTGGATAGGTAGGTAGGTGGGCACTGGGCAGGTAGGTAGGTGGGCACTGGGCAGGTAGGTGGGTGGGCACTGGGCAGGTAGGTGGGTGGGCACTGGGCAGGTAGGTAGGTGGGCACTGGGCAGGTAGGTAGGTGGGCACTGGGCAGGTAGGTGGGTGGGCACTGGGCAGGTAGGTGGGTGGGCACTGGGCAGGTAGGTAGGTGGGCACTGGGCAGGTAGGTAGCTGGGGGGTGGGGGGCGTGCGTCACATCTGCATAGGTAAACAAACTGGGTTTGTGTATCTACTATTAGTGCGTGTTTCAGCCCGCCATGTCCAGGTTGTCTGAGCCAATTACACCCTGATGCACCTGCCAGAGTCGCTGACGGCGGCAACCAGACCCACAGAGGCTGAGCAAAGCGTTCAGGAATCTCGATGCAACGTGGTTAAGAGCCAGACATAATTGCACTCAATATTTGTGCAACATTGTCAATATTATAGATCAAGTTGCTGATATCAGGTGTCAGGAGGGAGGTAAGGGAGTGTCCGGTAAGGGGTGTTAGGAGGGTAAGGGGTGGGTGTCAGGAGGGAGGTAAGGGGTGTCAGGAGGGAGGTAAGGGGAAGGGGTGTCAGGAGGGAGGTAAGGGGTTGTCAGGAGGGAGGTAAGGGGGTGTCAGGAGGGAGGTAAGGGGTGTTAGGAGGGGTAAAGGGGTGTCAGGAGGGAGGTAGGGAGGAGGGGTGTTAGGAGGGGTAAGGGGTTGTCAGGAGGTAAGGGGGTGTCAGGAGGAGGGTAAAGGGGTGTTAGTCGCCAGGAAGAAGGTAAGGGGGTATCAGGTGTCAGGAGGGGATAAGATGGTGTCAGGAGGAAGGTAAGGGGGTGTCAGGAGGAGGGGGGTGTCAGGGGGAGGTATCTGGAAAGCAACATTAGCTATGGTGGTTTAATAATCCAAAACACCTAATGAGAGGGACCGATGTATGGGTCAGAAGCAGGGACACTTTCAGCAGACAGGAGGGGCCTTGTGTTATGGTGAATGTCAGTAATAAACTACACTGACAGGGACACAAATGAAGAACTACTAAGATAAACAAAACTTCAAGAGAAATAATTGAAATGTAAATAAAATAATAAGATACTTTGGTCATATAATTAGGGATGAGGGAATAATAACAGGTATTAATGGAGAAAGTTGATGGGATGGATGAGTGAAATTATAACCTGTGTCCCCAGAGAGATACAAAACCTTACAAGATTGGTAAAACAGCCCGAGAACGTTTAGAGTGGAGGACTGTGGTCGCCAACCCTCAGATATGAAGACTGTACTCTGTAGTAGTAGTAGTAGTAGATGAGGCATGACGAAGTAAGGGATCCCGCAAATATACTGAAGGAAATCTGTCACGACGTCATGGTGGGACCGCCCTCCTTCCATTGGACGGTGAAAATCTCCTCTGGTGTTCTCAACCTCTGACCAAGTGTAAGACGCTTTCACGCAAGATTGGCGAGTTGTTATCTGAACAGAAGCAGCAGCCCAGGTTATGTTACAGCCTGGATGAGATGTCGACTGTCCTTCTCTCTCCTTAGGTCTGCCTGCTTTGCCTCAGGGGAACGAGACCATCGCCCAAAGCCGACAACAGATATTGACTATGAGGCAACAGTCACTGAATGCCGCATAGACCTGCTCAACTAACTCAACACAGCCAGGGTAGCTACTTATGTACCAGATATTTAATATTAAGGTAATAAAAAGGTGGTGAAGGTGTGCTATTAACCCCAGAATAAATATATCATGTATTACGTGTTGATTGACGTCAGACTTATTCCCTCCCCGTTCTTGTGCTTCAGCTTCGAGGGCACCTAAGTCGACTAAGGGCGCTCTCCAAGATGCGTCGGGACCTCTTAAATGCAGATCTGTCAGGAGGGACCTCCTGGCTCTCCTCCCTCCACCCGTCAACCTCACAGCTTCCGCGGCTCTTGTCTGTGCTACGTCAGGAAGAGCAACTACTTCCAGCAAGGTCAGTGTCTGTGTCTGTCTGTGTCTGTCAGCTGTCTCTCCTCCATAACACGCGTCACATTTTGCCACAACACCTGGTTTGACCTGACCTAACCTAACCAACTACAATGTTCTCTACAAAACAAAATAAGAATTAAAGAAAAAAAAACGAAAATAATACATAAAATAGATTTCTGTTATGCTCTATCATACAAAAACAAACAAAAACAAACAAACAAACAAACAAACACACTCACTAATTAACTTCACCGACAAGAAACAAACTTGCAAAAAAACACCAGAAAAAACACACATTTACTCAATTCATTTTTGCCTCCACAAGTTATCAACAAAAACACGTGTGTATAGAAAAAGTACCTGGGGGTAGAGGTGAGGTTATATTGGTCACTATATTCTGCTGTCATAAGGGTGGTGTGGTGGTGGCAGGGGTAGGTAGTGGTAGAGGTGGTGGTAGTGGTGGCAGGTAGGGTGCAGGTGGTGTGGTGGTGGCAGGGTTGGTAGTGGTGGTGCAGGGGTGGTAGTGGTGGCAGGTGGGTAGCAGGGAGCAGGGGTGGTAGTGCTGGCAGGGAGTAGGTGGCAGGGTGGTGGTAGTGATGGCAGGGGTGGTGGTGTGATGGCAGGGTGGGTAGTGGTGGCAGGGGTGGGTAGTAGTGTGTGGTGGTAGCAGGGTGGTAGTGTAGCAGGTGGTGGTGGTCAGGGGTGGGTAGGGTGGGCAGGTAGTGGTGGCAGGGTGGTAGTGGTGGTGATCAGAGGTGGTGGCAGGGTGGGTGGTAGTGGTAGCAGGTGGTGGTGGGGTGATGGTTAGGGTGGTAGTAGTGGTGCAGGGTGGTAGGGTAGCAGGGTGTAGTGGTAGCAGGGGTAGTAGTGGTAGCAGGTGGTGGTAGTGGTAGCAGGGGTGGTGGTAGTGGTAGCAGGTGGTGGTAGGTAGCAGGGGTGGTAGTAGTGGTAGCAGGGGTGGTGGTAGTGGTAGCAGGGTGGTAGTAGTGGTGATGGCAGAGGTGGTGGCAGGGTGGTGGTAGTGGTAGCAGGGGTGGTAGGGGTAGTGTGTGGTGGTAGGGGTGAGTTAGTGGTAGTAGTGGTGGCAGGGGGTGGTGGCGGGACGTTACACTGGGCTATTAGCTTATAATTACTAATGTTTGCTGGCCACTAATTTACCACAGTGAGCCTTGTTGATCGATGGGCCGGGGAGGGAAGGGGAGGGCGGGGAAGGAGGGAGGGAAGGAGGGAGGGGAAGAGGAGGGGTAGGGGGAGGGAAGGAGGGAGGGAAGAGGAGGGGTAGAGGGTAGTAAGATACAGGAAAAATATAAAAACTGAGAGAAACCAACTTTGTGTGTGTGTGTGTGTGTGTGTGTGTGTGTGTGTGTGTGTGTGTGTGTGTGTGTGTGTGTGTGTGTGTGTGTGTGTGTGTGTGTGTGTGTGTGTGTGTGTGTGTGTGTGTGTGTGTGTGTGCGTGTGTGTGTTCTGTCTGTTCTGTTCTGTCAACTCGTGTTATCTTTTGTTCTCTGTTGTTATTGGTCGTTCTCCAGTACATCCTCGTTACTGTTCTCCACCAGTCTATCTATCTATCTATCTATCTATCTAGCACAAAATACAATTCCTTTAAAATAGGCGAAAATTCTCCAACTACATTTTTAATACAATTATTTTTGTAAAGAATAAATTTACACGACACTACACAAGCCATATAAAGCTAGAAGTTATATTATAGCTTATATACCGCATATTATAGCTTATACACCGCATATTATAGCTTATACACCGCATATTATAGCTCATACGGGGTATATATACAGAGCCATCACCGCGACACCTGGATGACGTCACGACCTATATACCTTTTGCCCCTTAATTACAGGTGATATTAATACCTGCCGGCCATCTTTACCTACAAACATAAGCTGTTATTATCAGGTTATAAATTAATATTATTCCTTCCTCTCTCCTTCCTTAGTCCTAGAGGGCATAGGTGAGAGGATTTTCGACTTTGTGGACTGTTGGTCGGGGTATATAACATTATATTGCCTCTCTCTCTCTCTCTAGCCTGGGATAATTTCTGTATGACATCACTGTGTTTATGTTATGTGATCACTGTCATTACCAACGTCAATATGCGTGTTGTTGTTGTTGTTGTTGTGAATGTTTGTTTGTATGTGGACTGATGGTGGTGATATTTTACAACAATCACCACTACTACTATTTCTAACTTACTACCACAATCACAACTATTATCACCCAGCTTCTACCACCACTACCCACACCCCTACAGCTTCCTACCACAACCACAACTATTATCACCCAGCTTCCTACCACCACTACCCACATCCCCAGCTTCCTACCACAACCACAACTATTATCACCCAGCTTCCTACCACCACTACCCCCTCCTCCCCTCCAATACCTGTGACAAGGTGCACAAGTCATTAACATTCCAAGAGGCTGCTGGCTGGGTCAAAGGTCACCACCGTGGAATGGGAGCGCCCTGGGGGGTACTGGGGCGGGGCGGGGTGGGGCGGATGGGGAGGAGGGGTGGTGCAGGGGTGGGGGGAGAGAGGGAAGACGTGGGAAGATGGGGTGAGGCGGGGCACTGTGGAACGAGTTAAGAGAGGGGGAGGGGAGAGGCAGGATGGAATGGGGAGGGGCATGATAGGGTGGGGAGGGGCATGATAGGGTGGGGAGGGGTATGATAGGATGGGGCAAGGAGGGGCAGAGCGGGACGAAGCGGGGTAGGTCGGGGCTGGACGGGCGGAAACATACAGTATGAATCAAACTGCGATGAGACGACCTACTGGGAGTCAGGGCACTATGGTAGGGTGGTATGTCCCCAGTACCTGCTAATACCCAGTACCTGCTATACCCAGTACCTGCTATACCCAGTACCTGCTATACCCAGTACCTGCTATACCCAGTACCTGCTATACCCAGTACCTGCTATACCCAGTACCTGCTATACCCAGTACCTGCTATACCCAGTACCTGCTATACTCAATGCAGCACAAAGTCTGTATATCGTCTCTAACACTGTGTTATTATACCTGTGTGTGGCCGTCATCACCCAACCTAACCCAACCTCACGTCACCTCACCTCACAACCTCACCTAACCTAACCCAACCTCACGTCACCTTACCTCACAACCTCACCTCACCTCACCTAATCCCAACCCTACCTCACGTCACCTCACCTCACAACCTAACCTCACCTAACCTAATCCCAACCCAACCTCGCCTCGCCTCGCCCTCACGCTCTTAAAGAAAGTTTTAAGAGGGCGACAATCTCACTCGGTTGACTTTAGTGTAACACAATGGAGGCGGGGGAGCACTTTACTGCCCCCGTAATGATTCCTTCTATGAGCACCAGCACAGACTATGTAACGGAGCAACTGTGCCGCCATACTGTGAGGGAGGTGAGGGGGTGTGTGGGAGGTGAGGGGGTGTGAGGGAGGTGAGGGAGGTGTGAGGGAAGTGAGGGGATGGGTGAGGGAGGAAGGTGAGGGGGTGTGAGAGGGAGGGGTGTGAGGGAGAAGTATGTTCTAATGCTTAAGCTTCAGGTGGAATAAGCTGGGGGCTAATCTTCAGGTGATCCTTTATTAGTGTCTTGCACAGAGATAATTACTCAAAAATAAGACCATTTATGTTAGGTTAGGTTAACAGCCCAGCACCTGTACCCAGCACCTGAGCCTAGCACCTGTACCCAGCACCTGAGCCTAGCACCTGTACCTAGCACCTGAGCCTAGCACCTGTACCCCGTACACCTGCCAATTAGTGTACCTTAATATAACCTGCCACTTAAAATAACCAACAATATTAAAATTACTTAGTTATTAATTAACTTGTATATTTGTTTACATAATTTCACCAATAATTTAAAGAGCACAAATAATGGGTTTAGTGTTCATGCTAAGACACAATATATGCTTAATACATACATATATACATGCATACATACATACAGTACTTATACATACATACATACATACATACATACATACATGCATAATAATAATGGCCGCCCTTCGTGTAACGAGGATGGCCGGTCCAAGGGCCATTTGGACGTGAATTTGTTTAAGGTGTAGAAGCTGTCGCCAACACAACAACCACACCCTGAGTTAACGAGCTGTATGATCCAGTGTTTAAGGTGTAGAAGCTGTCGCCAACACAACAACCACACCCTGAGTTAACGAGCTGCATGACCCAGTGTCAAGGAATAGTCCGAGAAGACCGGACAACTCGCCAACTGCACTGGCTAACCATTACCCCGGAATACGGTCCACAAATCGATTAACATCCAGGTTCCCAATTACTGCTGGGTAGACAGAGGCAAATGGCGTAAAGAAACTTGACCATAGTTTCACCCTGCCCGGGGATCGAACCTGGGTCCACTCGCTTGTAAGGCGAGCATGCTGACCATTACACCGCATACAAACATACACAACAAACACACACGTAAGCGAGGCCACAAATCCTTAAACGAGTTACAACCATTGCCATGACTCCAGTACTCAGCCTAATACCCCAAAACTTCTTTCTGGTCTAGGCCTATACTGCAGGCCCCAGGCTCTCAGTTAGCTCAGCCATGTCAATATTATTATTATTATCCACTCTGTATTTCCTGGCTAAATAAACTGGACCTCCCACACACACCTGTACCCCCACACACACACACCTGTACCCCCCCCCCCACACACACACACCTGTACCCCCACACACCTGGCCCCCACACACCTGTACCCCCCCACACACCTGTGTACCCCCCCACACACCTATACCCCCACACACACACCTGTACCCCCCACACACCTGTACCCCCACACACCTGTACCCCCCCACCTGACCTACACCTTCATCACCTCACATGACCGCTGCTTCTAATCACCTCAACTAACACTTCAATACAATACATTACAAGTAAACAACAAGTATTAACTCTTAACAAGGTAACAAAGTCGTTAATGACAGAACTGGTGTGAAGCCAAGTCGTTCTTCGTGGGAAAAAATAAGATAAAACTCAATATTCACCTGAAGATTAGCACCCCTCCGCTTAATTCACCTGTTAAACGTCTACTCAGAAAGTACCAGGTTGGGTTAGGTTAAATCAGACCAAAATAAGTCAGATTAGGTTAAGTTAGGTTATTTTATTTTAAGGTGAAATAGGGGGGGTTAATCTTCAGGTGATCTATTCTTCCTACCTCCCAACTACGAGGAGATCAGGGCCGGGGGGGTGACGTCAGCCAAAACGTCAGTCACAGCTCCTACACACACCCACAGCAGTAACGAGTTATGAGACATTCTTCTTAGGTGTTTAAATCAAGGTCCACACGTTCAAAAATCACTACAGTAGATTACAGTCACACCGAGCTCAAGACTTCTGTAATGTACATAATCAGTTTGTTGTCATATCAGCTGTAACTCTTGTCTCATCACAGCACTGGTCTTAACACTTAAATAACTATAACTCACGTCACAGCCTTAACTATAACATTTCACTAAAGTTCTCTAATAGATCTCCACTATAACACAACCCGATATACAACCCAACCACAACACAACAATGACTCGTCTACCAGAAACAACACATTGATAACAAGACGAGAAAGTTTAACATACAAACTGGTGATACTTGAAATGAAGCAGTTGCCATATACATTATCTACCAGCGCCATCTAGTGCATGAATTACCAACTATAATCCAGTACGTTGCCATCTTGCACTATAAAATAAAACAAAATAACCCCAAAAAATTGTCATATATTTCAAATTTAAAATATTTTTCCCCAATATGTTAGGTTAGGTTAGGTTAAGGTGTAATAAGCTGGGGTGACTAATCTTCAATGGTTGTTACATTTGGCCACCTCCACCACCCTCACTTGGCCACCTCCACCACCCTCACTTGGCCACCTCCACCACCCTCACTTGGCCACCTCCACCACCCTCACTTGGCCACCTCCACCACCCTCACTTGGCCACCTCAACAAGATACAGTTTAGAAGGACTTAAGTGGATCAATATTATGCCAAGCTGTAGTGGGTATTGTGCCCGGCGCTTCCACCTACCTAGTGCCCACTCCAACCCTACCCAGCGCCCCTCCCCCTCACTGATTCTTCTTCTTCTTCTTCTTTTTATTATTATTATTATTATCATTATTATTATTATTATTATTATTATCATCAATTTAATATTATAAAGAACACGTAAACATTGATGATAAATTAAGAGAGTATTTCCTGGTGCCCACAGCCATGAAGCAAGCAGCCAGCCGCTCTGAGTCACCCAACCTGGAGTTCCTCAAGGTGTGTAGTACGAACCTCTCCTGTTTATAGTGATCGAAAAGTCCATGTGCACCTGAGATAATCAAACAGTATAGTATTTCTTTGTTATATACCTTTCTATACCGACATTATTATATACCTAGTTCTACTTACGGTATATATTGGTTATGGTATCCACTTCCAATACTTACTGTGAATGTTTTTATTATTTATTGTAAGAATAATAAGGTAAATAATTGGAGAGTTGATTATTGAGGTGCACAGGGACTTTTCGATCACTCTGTTTGTGTAGTTAAATAGACTCTATCACTGTTTGTTTACTTTCTATTGAAGACATGAGGTAGTTATTTATATGTAGTGAGAGAGAGAGAGAGAGAGATAGAGAGAGAGAGAGAGAGAGAGTAGCCCCTGTCACCTGGTATCGCATCTGTGCCCACCAAGATTCGCACCCCTAGGCTTCTTTGCTCTTAAAACCGAATGACTGACGATTACACCTGCCCAAAAACCCACCTTCTTGGAATCCGAACCCGGGACCTTTTAAACCCGGAGTCGACTTTACAGACTCTTAATTCCACCCAAGCATTCACTTCCCTTTTTTCTTACTTGACCTTCGATTCGAATCTGTGACCTCTTGACCTTGAGTTGACCCCCACAAGACCATTAATTCCAACTCAGTACATTCCTTCCTTAACCTGGATTCGAACCTGGGACGTCTATGGTGTGAGTGTGCAACTTTTGACACGATTTATTCAATACCTTCAAAAAAGAAAAAATACTCTACCTCTCTTTTGGATATTCTAATTCTGAGTATAAATTCTAGGTTTGGAATTTCCTTTATCTTCTATTTAAGGAATTTTTGGTCTGTACTAACCCCCAAAAATTCATCAAAATCTTAGTTATGACGCAAATAATTCTGTTCCTTAATTCTCGTCTCTAAGATATCCTAAAAATCCTGCCATGAAAAAATAAAAATCTACAGATTCTATCCCCATAAATTCTGTTCCACGAAACAATTAATTCTTGCCACAAATTCCTACTGGGGGAAAAAACTAATTCCGTCCATAAATTCTGAGGAGGAATTTATCTTGGTGGCGGAGGAGGGTGACGGTGGTCTTAACACGCCTCAAGTTTATTGCTCTAACAATTCAGTTTTACGTCCCAGAGTGTCGCGGCAGCTGCTTCAACGCCCACTACCCACGCCCACCGCCTTAGTCCACACTACGTTCATCTACACGCCCATAGTTAACTCATGTCTACGCCAAAGACTATGCTAAGTCCATCCCCACGCCCACGACTACGCCCATGCTACGTCCATCTTCACGCCCACACATACGTTCCTGATCACGCTTAAACCCACACCCAACACCCACATCCACACCCATTATACCCAACGCCCACGTAGCTGATCCCACGCCAACGCCCACGTCCAAGCCGCCCATCTGCATTCACAATAAATCCATCGAGCGAAGGAAGGAATGAATGAACAATACTGAGAGGCTAACACTTTAACGTTCTCCCCCCCCCCCGTACTGGAGGGAGGGAGGTGGGGAGGGAGGGAGAGGAGAGAGAGAGAGAGAGAGAGAGAGAG